CAGGAACGAAATGTCAGGGACGAGGCAGACGCTGTCTGGCAAGAATGACAAATAAGGTGTGTCATGCCGGAAAGCCAGTATTTCTCCTACTTGCCTTGCACAGGTGATGGCCACTAGAAAGGCCCTCTTTTAAGACAAGAATTTCATATCGCAAGTTGCGAGTGGCTCAAAGGGTTTCCTCGTAAGCTGATGAAGGACTAGAGGAAGATTCCAGGGAGCAACAGGAGTCTTGACAGGAGGGTAGAGGTTTAACAAACCTTTTAAAAAGCGCTTCAAAAGCGGATGTGAAAACATGGTGCATCCGTCGACGTGAACATGGTAAGCCAAAACTGCGGCCAAATAAACTTTTAACGATGAATAAGAAAGTCCCGAGTCAGCTAGGGACAGGAGGAATTGGAAAACTTTCTCGAGGCCTGCAGAGGAGGCTCGAGGGGCATCATCACCTAGGGAAGAACAGAATTGTTGCCATTTATAATGGTAGTACCTTCGCGTAGCAGGTTTCCTGGCATTCAGTAGAACATTGCCTACGCGGGTCGAAAAACCTTTGACGTTATTCTCCATGCCGTCCATTTCAAGCATGGTATGTCGTGATGTAGGAGAGGGGAGTGTGACAAAAAGAGGAGGTCCTGTACCAGAGGGAATTGGTGGTACATTCCCCTTGACAACTCGAGGACTGTGGAGAACCATGGTTGTCTCGGCCACCATGGTGTTATCAACAAGCAGTCTGCTCCGTCTTGGATTATCTTGCGTACCACTCTCAGAAGTAGGGGTAAAGGAGGGAAAAGGTACAGAAGGCCGGAGGACCAGGGAAGAAGGAGACCGTCTTCGAGCAATTGTGAGTCCCTGCCGCCTCGACTGCAGAACAGGGGACATTTTTTTGTTGGCTCTGGTGGCGAAGACATCGACTTGGGGAGATCCCCACCTGTGGAAGAGTAGGAAAAGATAGGACGGGTTCATCTCCCACTCGTGGAGACTGAGCCTTGCTCGACTTAAATGATCTGCCTGCACATTCAGGTGACCTGGGATGTGTGTGGCTACCAAAAAGATGTCGTGAGCGATGCAAAAGTCCCATAATTGAATGGCGAGGTTGCAGAGACCAGGCTAAGGGAATGATGTCTGCCACTCTGTCTTGAGGCAGGTAAGCCATGCATGTCGTGGAGTCTAGTATAGCACTGATGTACTTTATTCTTTGGACTGGACTCAATTGAGACTTTTCTCGATTGACTTGTAGGCCCAGATCCTTTAGTAGTACCAGTGTCTCAGTGATGTTTGAGACCAGGGCGTTCTGGGAAGGCGCTACCAAAAGCCAATCGTCGATATAGGGGTAAATGGAGATACCCCAGAGACTAAGGAAAGTCGCAACTACAATAATCATCTTCGTGAAGACTCTTGGGGCACTGGACAGGCCGAACGGCAGGGCTGCATACTGGTAATGCTGTTGACCATTCGTGAAGCGTAGGTATTGGCGGTGGGAGGAGTGGATGGTGAGGTGGAAGTACGCGTCTTGGAGGTTGAGGGTGGCGATCCAGACGTGTTTCTGTAGGAGTGGCATAATCTGCTGTAAGGACACCATGCGGAAGCAATGGTAGGTTACAAAACAGTTCAGTGCCCTCAGATCTAAAATGGGTCGAACGCCTCCATCTCTCTTCGGGACTGTGAAGTATCAGGAATAAAATCCCGTCCCGTGGAGGTGTGGTGGTACCTGTTCAATGGCTCCCTTCTGCAGAAGGACGGACACCTCTTCCAGGAGAGGTGGGGAAGGGGGTGTGAAGATGACGACAGGAGTAATGGGGTTCTGGTGGAATTGGATACGGTAGCCTCGGGTCAAGACTGAAGCCAAGTATGAAGGAAGGGTGATAGACGGGTTTGAACTGACTCAGTGACAGGGAAGTGAAAAACTCTGCTTGGAGGGTTGACCTGTTTGGTACGAGAAGACTGTTGCCCGGATCCAAACCTGTTTTCGGTATGGAGGTTTTTGACCTCCCGAAGACGTACGTGGTCTCCATTGTCTGTCTGGAGACTGATGACTTGGTGCACGCCTCTGCCAAGACCTTGACCAGGTACAGGGACGGTATTGTTGTCTCACAGAGGGTGACACTCCTAGAGCTCGAGAAGCCTTTATGCTCTTGTCTAATTCTTGGAGTGTGGGATCAGTAGTGGTGTTGAAGAGGCCAAGGCCGTCAAACGGAAGATCTTCAACATAAGACCCGGTATCCAGAGAGAGAGTCGTATTGCAGAGCCAGGAATGCCTCCTAAGTGCTATAGCAGAGGCCATCGTCCTGGAAGATGCATCTAGGGCATGCTTTGAAGTGTTTATTTGTTGTTTTGCCAACACCATGCCCTCCTTTTGAATGACTCTGGCTGCCTGAAGCTTGTCTTCTGGGAGATGGGTCAATAGTTTGGAGAACCTTTCCCAGAGAGTATATTGATACCTGCTCATGCAGGCCAGATAGTTAGTGGTTTGACACCCAACGCTCCGGTGGAATACAAGCGTCTACCGAAGGCGTCCAATTTTTTACTTTCTCTGTCTGAAGGTACAGAGTGTGTTCGTTTAGATTTTGAGGAGGATGTTACAACCATAGAGTTTGGTTGAGGATGGGAGAATAGGAATTCGGCCCGTCTCTTGGACTCTGTACATATGGTCCAGTCGTCTTGTCGACACCGGGGCTGACGAAGGTTTCTCCCATGGTGCCTTTGTAGCTTGCAAAAGGACAGTGGACATGGGCAATGCCAGAGTGGAAGATGAATCAAGCTGGACGATGTAAAAAACTGCATCCGTCACCTGCGGGTGTTGCTGAACGACAAAGAGGCCTAGGGAATGGGCCATTCTTTTTACAAGATCTGTGTATGACATGAGATTGTCGGATGGGGAGATGGGCAAATCATCAGTGACAGCCTGATTAGGAGACTTATGATCGGGGAGGTGTGA